CCATTCCTTCCCCTCTCCCCCAGCTCTAATGGATTTCCATACAAATCTTTCAGTATTTCACTTGGAAGACTACTGCTCTAGACACTCAAGGACTTTGCTCCCAGAGTTATTCATTCTCTTGTCTGAATTTTCCATTTCTATCTATTGTATTATTTCCATGAGTGTACTGACAGACTCAAGTGTATGATAGTGTTCTCTGTCATTAAAGATTATTCTTGGAGCCAGCAGGTGGCATGGTGGTTAAGGTACTGGACTTTCTTCTGGCCAATCACAGTTCAAATCACAGGCCTGGTGGCTTGCTTTCTCTCTCTCTCTTTCTGTCTTCTTTGGTGATTGCATGTGCCCTACAGCAAATTAAAACAATAATAATAAATAAAATTTAAAAAACACTACATCAGTAATCCTATTAATTAGAAGAAAGATTGCTCATTGATGTAATATTCCTCTTTATCAATATCTCCATTTTTTAACTCTCCTTCACTGCCAAACTACTCAGAGAGACACGTGTACATGCCATTGTACTTCCTTCTCTTTTATTTTATCTCTACTCTAATCTCTGACTTCCATCCCCACCACTCTGCTCAAATTGCTCTTGTCATTGTCATCTATGATCATCTTACTTGACCTTTCAGTGGTAGTTGACATAGTTAGTTAACTACTCCATACTCTTGCAATGCTCTTCTTTTTTGTCTTTTACATTAATATACTCTGCTGTATTTCTACTTGATCTCTTTTGAGGAGCCGCCTTCTGCAATTTGGGAATTAGCTTCCGTCCCCTTTCTGTATTTTTCTTGTTTTACCTGGTGATTTAATTTATTTCTAGGTCTTTAAAAGCCAGCTATGTGTTGACAGCTCCCACAGAGTTCCCTAGTCCCATTTTTTCGCCTGAGCTCCAGATGTTTACATTCAGTTGCCCCTGGCTGTTTCTACCTGGAAATTTCTTAGGTAGCTTAGTGGCTACAGCTGCACAGTGGGACTCTTCATTTTTTCCTACTCTTTTCCTGTTTTGTCCCATGTGTCCTAGTTCACAAAAAGTAAATTGTTTACTAAGTTTTTCAACCCAGAAATCTGGAGGTCATCTTTAATTTATTTCTTCATTTCTCACATCTAATCCATGAGCATGTCTTTTTGATCTACCTAAGCTAATAGGTATTTTATCTGCTTATTTATTTACTTATTTATTTATTTTTGAGTAATTTTTGCTATAGGGCGCTTGTGCTCGCCAGAAAGAGAGAGACAGAGAGACAGAAAGCGAGAAATCACCCCCCAGGGGGGATGGTCATGCTGCAATCCCTTCTCCTCCATTCTCCTCTCGGAATCTTGGGCATGTACGCACATGCGCCTGGTGTGAGTTTAAGCCACCGGGTCCGGGACTCGAACCGCGGTTGACTACCTGGTAGTTCGGCGACGTAGTCATTAGACCAACTACTGGTCCCTTATCTACTTATTTATCTCTGTCTCTAAGGCAAATTATCATTACTTTTCTCCTGGATGATTAAAGTAACATCTGATGGGGTTTTTCATGTTCCTATTTGTCTCTTTCCAATCCTTGACCTGTATCACAAGTAAGAGTGATTTTTATAAAAGGTAAATCAAGATATTTTCTTCTTGAAATCCTGCCATGTACTTGGTGTCAATTCCAGATTTCTTACTGTGACCTCCAAGGTTCTATGTGATATGGCCTCTGTCTTTCTCATTATCCTATCATATATCACTCTGCTTTTGTCATTGTGCTATAGTAACTCTGGCCTTTTTTTGTCCTAAGAAAAGGCTGGTCTCTTTCTCAGTGCCTTTGCATTTTTGATCTCTCTTCCCGGAAAGCTCTTTCGCTAGCTTGTCACATGGCTGGTACCCTTTTCTCCGGAAGATCTGACCTGAAATACTATCTCAGTAGAGAGTCCTTCCTACTCTAATGACAGATTTCCTACTGGCTTGTTTCTGTCTTAATACTTAGGAAAATCTGTGATTTACTTTTCTCTGTGTGGTTTGGTAGAAAGCTCTGTGAGGTTGGAAATCTGGCATTTGGGAGGGGCTCAGGAAACATAGGTTGAATGAAAATATGGAAGAATAAATGGTCTTGTCCTGTTCATCATGTAAGGTGATAACTGAATAAAGATATAAAAGGAAGGTATGTAAAAATTGTGGTGTGGCACAATATTAAGATGGCAGGTTAATATGTTGGTTATGTCTGGTTTCTTTGTTTAGGAGTTGGCCTAAAACTAGAGGGGATGAATCAGGTTCAGCTCCATAGGGGAATATGAAAAAGTCAAATGCTTGGTTAAAAAAAGTTGCATCGTACAGAATCAAGGAACTCTGTCCTTTCACCAGTTCATATGTCAAATCCTAAAGAGCTGCAGTGGTGACCAAAAAGCTAATGCAGTCCTGAACTGTGTCAATAAACCCATATATTATTACTTAGTTGGAAGAGGGAATTATAATACTCTCTTCTCTTTCGGTGACATCAGTAAAATTATTTCAGCTTTTTAGAACTACAAGAAATACCTCACTTAGGGGGCCAGCATATGGCGTGGTTGATAAAGGCACTGAAATCCCACATGGCCAACCGTGGTTCGAGTCCTGGACCTGGCAGCTTGCTTTCTCACTTTTCCTTTCTCTCTCTCTGTCTCTGTCAGGTCAAATGAAAATAATAATAATAATAATAATAATAGCAAATGGAATTAAATAAGTAAATAATTCTTAAAAAAAAGATACACCTCATTCATCCATCCATCTGCTCATATATGAATTTAACATTACTGAGTACATTCTGGGCACTAATATTATATACTCATGAATACAATTGTCATACTCTTGTGTTTATGGACCTTATGTCTGACTTCCAAAGAGAAATGAGTCATCTCAGCGAATTGAAGCAGAAGCTGTTTTGTCATTTATTGAGAGGTAGTACAATCTAGTACTTAAGAACTCATGCTTTGTAGCTCGTTGGAGTCTAGAGGGTGGTGGCTTCAAATTCCAGCTCTGCTATTTACCAGCTGTGTAACTTTGAACACATGTTTTGTTGTTTTTGTTATTATTATATTTAATTTTTTTATAAAGCAAAAATTATAGAACTTTTTTTAAAGAGGATTTCACATTCTTTTGTCTGTTAAATGTTTCTAACTTTTGCCCTTCTCACCCCCCATCCTACTCTCCTCCCTTAAAGAGTCTGTTATCTACACTTATCCTCTCTATCATATCTTCAGATCTTTTCATCTTTTGCCATAGAGTGCAGACATTCTATACAAATTGAGTGGGTGTGTATCTTTCAAACTCTGGCTCACGTCACTTAACATTATCCCTTCTATATGTGTCTACTTTGAATTAAATGACAGGATCTCATTGCTTCTCTGCTTGAATAATATTTCATAGTATATATGTACCAGTTTTTCAACACAGTCATCAGTTTTGGGACAATTAGGTTGATTCCATGTCTTAGCAATTGTGAATAATGTTGACTAAATATGGATGCGCAGGTGTCTTTCTGATTACTTTCCTGTCCTTTGGATAATTACCAAGAAGTGGGATTATTGAGTCATATGGTAGTCCTATTTGAAGGTTTTTGAGGAATGTCCATATTATTTCCCACAGAGGTTATACTAATTCCATTCCCACCAGCAGTATCAGAGGGTTCCCTTTTTACTGTAGCTTTACCAGCCCTTGTCCTTTTTTTTTTTTTAATTCTAGCCATGTTTTGTTTTGTGTTTAGAGGTTTTTACCTTAGGGCAGGTGGCCTTGCTGGAGAGAGAGAGAGAGACAGAGACAGTGAGAGTTAAAGTGAGAAATCACCCCCAAAGAGGATGACCACACCACAGTCCTTTCTCCTCCCTTCTTCTCCTGGTATCTTAGGCCTGCTTGCATACGCAACCAGCATGATTATCAAGCCACTGGATCTGGGACTCAAACCACGGTCTGCCATATGGGAGTCCAATGATGTAACTGCTACACCATCTGCTCTCTCCAGTCCTAGACATTCTAACTGGGGTTAAATGATATCTCATTGTGGTTTTAACTTGCATTTCCCTTATGACAAATGACTTTGAACATTTTTTTTTCATATGCTTTTTGTCCATTTAAAAATCTTCCTTGGAGTGTTGTCTATTCAGTTCATTTGCCCATTTCTTAATTGGATTACTCATTTTTTAAATAGATGAGCTGCTTGAGTTTCTTATATATTTTGGTTGTCAATCCCTTCTCTGAGGGATAATTTGTAAATATTTTCTCCCATTCTGAGGGTTGTCTTTTCACTCTAATTGTTGTTTCCTTTGTTGTAAAGAAGCTTTTTAGCTTTATGTAATCCCACTTGTCTACTTTTGGGATTATTGCCTGTCCTTTAGGTGTCTTATTTAAGACATCTTTGCCTACTCCAGTGTCTTCAAGAATTTCCTCTAGGTTTTCTACCAGTAGATGTATAGTTTGAGGCTTTATATTCAAATCTTTGATCTATTTGTGTTGATTTTTGTTAATGGTTTCTGCAAATGGACATCTAGTTCTTCCCAAATCTCTCTCTGCTTTAGTAGTCACTTGTATAAACTGGAGATAATAAAAGTATGCCTAAAATTGTAAAAACTGAGATAATATGTGTATAACTCATCTAGAATAATATCTAGCACATAGTAAACATTAAATAAATCAATGATAAGCATTTAACTAATAAAATGGTGTTTTCTGGAGGACCAAAGGACTGAAAGAGAGATTGAGGATGGAGAAAATGGTCTCAGAGGAAGCCTGGGTGATTGAGCTCAATTTATTTTTATTATTTTGTCATATTAAACTTATTAATAGGTTTAAAATTTGAAATTCAACTTGAAAAATCATGTCTGAAAAGTTTTAAACGTTGTCTTATTTAATCTTTTATTTTAGGTTAGAGAAAGATTAATTCTGTTTAGAAATGCCATCTGGTATCTCCCTCTACTTCCCCAAAGCTTATAAAGAAGCAAACCTTTAGAAATAATAAAATTATAGCTATCCATAAACATATTTTTGCTTTGGTTTTGTTTTAGTGGCAGCTGAAATATCCTAAACTAATTCTCCGAGAAGCCGGCAGCATATCTGAGGAGCTCCATAAAGAGGTTCAAGAAGCCTTTCTTACACTGCACAAGCATGGCTGCTTATTTCGGGACCTGGTTAGGATCCAAGGCAAAGATGTACTCACTCCGGTATCTCGCATCCTCATTGGTGATCCAGGCTGCACATACAAGTACCTGAACACCAGGCTCTTTACGGTACCCTGGCCGGTGAAGGGTTCTAACATCAAATACACTGAAGCTGAAATAGCTGCTGCTTGTCAAACCTTCCTAAAGCTCAATGATTACCTGCAGGTAGAAACCATCCAGGCTTTGGAAGAACTCGCTTCCAAAGAGAAGGCTAATGAGGATGCTGTGCCAGTGTGTATGTCTGCAGATTTCCCCAGGGTTGGCATGGGGTCATCCTATGATGGACAAGATGAAGTGGACATTAAGAGCAGAGCAGCATACAACGTAACTTTGCTGAATTTCATGGATCCTCAGAAAATGCCATACCTAAAAGAGGAACCTTATTTTGGCATGGGAAAAATGGCAGTGAGCTGGCATCATGATGAAAATCTGGTGGAAAGGTCTGCGGTGGCGGTGTACAATTATAGCTGTGACGAAGGTACAGTCTGCTCTGGGGAAAAGCAGTTCTGAGTGTAATAAGACCAAAGTTCTTTAGACTCTGGAGATACACATGCATGCATGCATGCTTGAACATGTGTACGTGTGCATGCACTGATAGGTATGTGTGTCTATGTTGTCTGTGGTGTGTGTCCTCTTTAGGCTTGTCTCACCCATATGTCTGTGGAATATACCTCTTTCTCATCTAGCTATGCTATCTGGCTCATTGTTATACTGTACTCAGAATATTCTTTATGTGTAAGCTTTACTGTCATTTTTTCTTTCCCAGGCCCAGGGGAGCTGCATCTTAGTGTCATCCAGCCAATTGCCTTTTTCTAAAGCTCAGAGTCAGTTGTACCGTTGCTATAATTACCTTGCTGATAAAGGACTGGGAAAACAAAAATCTGTCAAATCTTTCCAGGTTCCCACAGGTGCACATTTCAATCTTGCCAAAATATTTTATTATGCCTGACATCACTATCTTGATGGGCGTGAGTTGTCAAATATGGACTTGTTCTTGGTTTTATATAGTTTTTACTGCTGTCCTTTCTTGCCAGAAGCAGTTGAGGTGGGTTTTGTAATCAGACTGTTCTCTTTTTCCAGGAAACCTTCTAGCCTCCAATGCAGTTCTGCAGTTTTAGATGTCACAGGCTTGCTGTGGTGAACTTGTTCTTAACATTCTGAAATCCAGGCCCCCTAGAACCAAGATCATAGGCTATGTTTTAGGGAACTCTGCAAATTTTCCTTCTCTGTTATTCAGTTTCTGTGTGTTTAGGGTCTTCATTATGGGCAGGATTCCTAAAATGCTATTTTGACATAATGAGGATAAGATGATCATTGCTGACTTTCTTTGCCTGATTTTTAAATGAAGGAATACAAGACATAGTATTATCTATTTGACAATAAACAGAAGACATAATATTAGCTTTTCTATTTTATTGATGGATGTTTGGAAAATTAAAGTTCTAGATATCCTATCTTTGAATGAAACTGGAACTTTTAAGGGTGTTTTCTGACAACTCTAGTGTTTTAATTGGATTTTGTTATTGTTATTAATTTTTGTTTACTAAAATGAATTTGAGAAAGGGGATATAAGAAAAGAAAGCAACTCACGGTACTCTTTACATTTCTTACAATTTCCAATCTCAAAACTTTCTCCAGCATAACTAATATTTTTTCTGACTTTACCTTTTATCTTCTGTCTCGAACAAGGAACCAGTTTAGCGGTTGGAAATTTCATCAGTTTTTCTGGCATCTCAAATAATGATGCTGACCTAAGAAAATCGCTTGAAGGGATTCCATGCTGTCCTAATGGAAAGAACAGAGATCCTCAGATCTTTAATTAGGCTTTGCCAGGGATTTAAGAACTATCACATCCAAGAACTCTGATGTGAAGGAACAATGGAGTTTGTTAATTTCTTTCTTTAAGAGGCAACTCTTGAAACTGAAGCAGTGGTATGTGATAGCACCAACAGCTACAAAGATTTCTTTGTGCTCTCACTGACTCTCAGCCCTATAGTTCAATAGTCCTATTGTACTCCCTTGTGTGGGTGATCAAGTAGTTTTTGAAACCTAGAATATCTTTTAGAAAGGAATTAAAAATTTTAATTAATAGTTTCTTTGGTAAGGAGTAGTCAGGACTGATAAAGTATATAAATATAAATTATATATAAATATAGAAATATGTATACTTACAGTTATCACCAAGAACAGGGAAGAACAGAATTGAAATCTATAAAAACAATATAATTTCCTTTCTTCTCTTTACCTTTGGGATTACTAGAACTTTGTCTAGTAATTCTGGAGGCTGTTAGTGAGCACCTGCTATGTACCAGACCTGTTGTTTTATATTACTAACTCATTTTATCTTCTTCACAGCAATCCAGTGAACAGACTAGTAACAAAGTACTAATGCTTTCCTCATTTCCCAGATGAGGAAACTGAGAGAGATGGATGATTGACTTGCTCTTGGCCATACTGCTATATTAGCAGAGATAGGAGGTGAACCCAGGCAGTCTGCCTTTAGAACCTTAACACCTAAGACTATATGTCTTTTGACTAGGTATTTTCCATCCTAGCAGTGTAGCTGCATTGGGAATTTGTTTTTTTTTAAATGTCAACCTTCTGGAAAGGTAAAGGGAATATTCTACTTGCTTTTCCGTGCAAGTCTTGTCTTTCTCCCGCTAACCTCATTTCTCCCCAGTATCCACTTTAATGTTGCTAGCGCATACTCTTAGATGATTGGAATATGTTAGATTAGTTTTTTCTATGAAATGGAATCTTTCTCTAGGTATCTAGCTCTGTGTAGTTTGGGGTCAGATAGTGTACAAAGTATGTGCCTAGAAATTACCGAGTAGGTATATTTTTTTCAAATGATTTCTTCCAAGTGACAAGTGATATGTATAGTTCTCTGGTCTCCTTATAGTCTCCCCAGAACTATTGTAAGGGTGGACTTGAAGAAAGACATTTGGGTTAAAGTCATGGTCAGGTTTGGGAAGGGTTTACGGGAGATCCAGCAGAGTGAAATGAGAACTTTAGGAAACTGCTCTGTTTTCTGTGTCCTTGAACATATTTGTTGAGCAATTGCTAAGCTATGTTTAACTAGCTGATCTAGACACCATGGAGACTCTAAAGGTAAATCAGTGCCTTCCTTTCCTTGAGAGAATAGGTGAGTTAAAGTGTGCCCTTTTGATTATAATTATGAAATGATGAGGGACCAGCAGGTGGCGTGGTGGTTAAGGTTGTTGGACTCCCACATGGCTGACCATGGTTCAAGCCCGGACCTGAAGGCTTGCTTTCTCGCCACCCTCTCCACCCTGCCCTGGTCAAATTAAAATAAATAAAATAAAATAAAATAAAATAATTCTTCAAAAAATTAATTATGAAATGATGAAACATAAGATCTGGAAGACATTTTTGAAACCACCTAATTCTAGCCTCTCATTTACAGATGAAAACACTTAGGGAGGTGGTTTGACCAAGATCACACAGTTACTTAGTGACAAGAGCAAGGATATAAGTTGGAGAGTGTTGCTTGCCATTGAAGAAGTTCAAGTAAGATGCATTGGTAGTTCAGATACAGACATGACAGCTTTCTGCTGATATTAAATTCAATTGAGGCTTAAGATATTTTAGGACTTTGCTCTCAATACCTTTTCTCAGGGAAATCTTCTTGTAGATTCATAATGAGCCAATCATTTCTCTTTGGTTTATTTTCATGAGTAGAGGTCATTGAGTAATTTGTATAGGATATGTGTAATTATATATTAAATTCATTGGCTTTCATAGGCAGTTCTAGTTAATAGATATCTCCAGTAAGAAGATTGAAATGGTACAATTTTTAATCAGGAATGGCTTCAGGGAACCATATGTAAATAGCCAGAGTATTTGATTTTCCTATTCCAGCTTTGCTGGCAATTGCTTGTTACTCCCAGCTATAAAAAAATGAACTTTAGCAGGGAAAGCATTAAAAATCCATTGTTTAATATGGTCCAACACTTTGTTCTTTGACTAGAACACCTTCAGAAATATCACATAGGTAAGAACTGTTGGTTAGCATGTTTGTTTCATTGTTTAGAAGGCATACTTCTCTGACATTATCATTATAGGAGGAGCAGTCTTAAAATTTTTAACTAGTGCCAAGTATTTGAGGTTCTTGACATTGTTTTCCAGGTTTCCATACAGAGCAAAGGAGACTCACAAAAGGAAGAGAGCCAATCCATGTTTTCTGTTGAATATGTGCTAGGCGAGAAAGTAGAGACTTTGCAATAATTTCCTTGGAACTTTAGGATTCCCATTAATTTATTTTATTTCTTTTAATTTCCAGAGGACACATGCACTCACCAGAGATGGTAGACAGACAGAGACAGAGGGAACGAGGGAGAAAACATCTCCAGTGGGGTGTGGTGATATAATTCCTTCTCCTTCATTTCTTCATTTGTTATTGTGGGCATGCATGCCATATGCCTGGCTGCTAAGGCTGGCATTCAAATGTTAGTCAGCCATGTGGGATCCGATTCCCTTAACCAGTAAGCAAAGGGGCCAGTCTCCTTTCCATGTCTTTGATTTTAGAAACGTTGAATCCCCATCAGGATGGAAATTTGTTGACATATTTCTTGAATCTCTTTTTTGAAAATAGTAACTCTATACTCCTTTTAGTTCATTATTTAGACCACGAGAATCTAGATTATAACTTGAAAATTTGGAGCATTCATAACTTTTTAAAATGCTATGAAATTTAATATTTTTCTTCATCTTTCAGTGTTCTTTTCCAAGGTGACAAAACTCATTTGACCTATTTTTGTTTTATTATACCATGCCATGTCTTGTCAGTTCTTTTTGAAGTCACTTATACTGCTCAGTTAAACTCATTTGGTTTTGTTTGTTGCCTCCCTTCAGTTATTTATCCACTTATCATTAAACATTTACTGTTTACCAGGCATATTTTAGGTGCTGAACATTTAACAGTCAACAAAAGAGACAAAAATTCCTGTCCTCATTGAGTTTACATTTTAGCAAGAGGAGGCAGAGATGAAAAAATAGAGTATGTAACAAGGATGGGGAACAGGCTCAAAGTCAGGCAAGACCTCATTGTTTATATGTATGTATGTATGTGTGTTTGTTTGTTTATTTCTTCTGTAAGCAAAAGAGACAGAGAGGAAGAGAGAGAGAAAAAGAGAATATCCCAAATAGGTATTCAAACTGCTATCCATCCCAGCTTCAGTCATCTCCAGTTCATGTGCATGAAGATGCCTGGCATACCCAGACAGATCTCCAAACATGAATCTGGATCCCTCTTATGTGGATCTCACAGTGTTGCGTTTTTACCTCTGGGTCATCATCTGGCTCGCCCCAAGGTCTTACTGGGAAGTTAACATTTGAGCAAAGACGGAAAGAAGAAAGTGAACTACTCAAAAATTTGGTCTTGCCACAATCCCTTTTCTTTGGTTTCTCTGTCTCATCAGGATTCTGAACACACACACACACACACACACACACACA